GTCAGTAGCACATATAAGATCACACTATTAGACAAATGAAGTGACTTTCCTCTGGAAAAACACATGACTCTGAGTCAACACTTATCAACTTATCTAGCCATTCACCTTCTGTTTCACATTAATACTCGAGATATTGTCTATTAATTGTAAAGCAAAACACACACAGATTATACCCTGGCAGCCATTCGCTACATACTTGTGCTCAGTTACTAAGCTTTTTGCAAGAAGTTAGGCTGAGTGTCCCATTTCTATTCATTCTGCAGACATTGATGGCGAAGGCAAGAGGCTGGTGCTCTGTTTGTTGTTGTTGATTACCTCATTGTCGTTGGATACTTGGCTGAAATGACCCATTGTATCTTAGTGAGGCTCCAGCACCGAATGCCAGGAATAAAGGCAGGAAATAAAAGGAAGGCAGCTGAAAAGAAAGTAGAGAATTCCCCAAAGGTGCTATAGAATAGCCCTGTGTGGACAAAAATGTTTTCAAGCAAGCTCAAACTCATGTCCACACAAACACTCAAACCTCTCAGCATGCAAATATGTAATTATATAGAATAAGTATTTGCAGTTACATGAAAGAATACACACACACACACACACACACACACCTGGGCATGGTTTTACAAGCTTACACAGTTACACACTCAAACATGCACTCATGTTCATGATTCCTAATCCCATTGCCCGGGGAATTGCCTTAATGTGGTTATGTAATGTTAAGATGCTCCACGAATTATTAGTTTCAGTTTCAGTCACATTTAGTCCAGTATATGGATAAGAAAGCAAGAACACATATGGGATGACACAGTGATAGAGGGAAAGACAAACAGAGAGTTTGCCTGAAATCTGACAGACAAACATAGAGGCAGCTGACAGATGGCCAGATTCTGACAGTTTGAATCTTTTATGGAGCAGTCAAAAGTGACTCGTGTGTACTCTGAGTAAGCAGGAGATTACACTAGAATAGTCTGCCTGAAGTAGGATTACACATCTCCTGCTGTGTTTCAAGCCTAGATCAGGAGAATGAAGCACCATGCAAAGATCATGCTGGGCAACATTTTCCCTTTTCTGCGAGAAATTAGGGTGGAGCACAGCCCAATATGCAGTAAAGCCAGAGTATAAAATAGTTAATAGTTCCTTCACAATTCCTTTCTCAATCTCTGGCCTATTATGTTGAGTTCCCAGTATTTTTTCAGCCTAATTAATCTGAAGTAGGGGTATTATTTCTGGTGCTATTCTTGCATGTGAACTGTGTTTTGAGAATTTCTTCTTCAGGTGTGATTAGGTGATGGAGTAAAATAAAGAGTGGTGTTAAAATTATGGAAGACAATTATGGAAATTATGGAAGAAAATTAATGGATTTTAGTCATTCAGCTTGCAATTTATTCTAAGCAAGTCCATCATTACATAAAAGTACTGTTCAGTCTTTGGCAAACATTTAATCTCTAACTATATTTTGGCAACAGGAGATAGTACAGTTGCATTAGCAGTCAGTACCACCTTTTGTTCGGTCGGGGTGTTTGGGAAATTATTTGTAAAGATTGTATTTTTTCTGACCATGGGTATCATTTGGTATTCATCATACCCAGCATCACAAAAATTCTATTTTTGTGATTGAAGCAAAAAAGATAGATTCCCAATACCGCTAATGGGTGTCATTCATCTCTCAAAAGAGAGGGAGACACACACATAAATAGTCTGCCCCACTATTGCCTACCTGCTTTAATCCATCTTCTCCATTTATTTTCGTGTTACGTCTCTCAGTGCATCCCATTTCTTTATCCATTCACAGAATACATTTTTCTGTCAGATGTAGAAATCTGTCACGATTATGATGTTGAGAAAATAATTTTAAAAATAAACAAAAAACAAACAAAAAAAACCCCTCAAGTCTTGTTATATAGACCTTTGGGTTTGAGGGTTACACGCAGTATGCTTTCTCTTTGAAAAAACATTTGTCTTGTGGAAGCTCGAGGTTTCAGCTCTCTTGTTTGTAACAATAGTTGCTGCATCTTATTGGGTCGAACCGAAATAGACATCTTGAAGGCCCTTTCATTGTCTCTGTGCATATTTTCCTGTTCACATGCTTGCATGTAGCAGCATATGGTGTCCCTCCTTACACTTTACATCCTTTTGTGCTGGACTTAGCACTTTGTGATGCCCTCTTTGTCTTTTCTGTTGTTTTTGAATTTTTTTCCACCTCTTCTGTCTGCCTGTGTAGTTGGCTTATAAGGTACCCTGTTTTTCCTGTCTGCTACTGTCTTGAACTGCTGTCTGAGTAAGTTATTTTCTGGAAACATTTGGCACATGTACATATGTAGGCTTAATATTTCATGAAAGACATTGTCCTTGACATTTTTCATTCTACAGTACTCTTCAAAAGTCTTGAGTCACCGCTAATTTCGTTATATTTTGCTAGGAAAATACAAAATAGGTGCAGCAATTTATTGAAGTTGAGGCAGTCTTAAGAAGTCTTCAGGAATAGTTCTCCAGGCTTTGGATGTTTGCTGCCTTTTGTTCTGTTCTCTGTTAAGATGATCCCACTGCTTCAATAATGTCGAGGTCCACATGCTGGGGAGTGTTCCATTGTGCGGTTTTCTCTCCATGGTATAGTTTTGCTGCATTGGCAGTGTGTTTGGAATCAATGCAAAAAAATTATGCTGTTGCCAATCAGGCAGATTCCAGACTTTACTGTGTGGTGTTTAAACATATGATTGCACTTTTCAGTGTTCCACCCAAAACCGATGGAACCCATTGAACCCAAAATTTCAAACTTGGTTTCATCACTCCATTGATTTTCACTCCAGTTCTTGTATAATTTGGCATTGTTCAGTCATTTCTCCCTGTTTCCCCTTCTTTAAAATGGCTTTTGCAAAGCGACCCTTCCACTGAAACCCTGAAGACATAACTTTTACATACTAGTAAAGTTTTCGTTTTGCTTTTTAGGCCTGCCCCACTTCTCCTTGTTCAATTTCCTGTGCACGACAAACCATTCCAAGATAGACCATGTTTTCAGCTGACTGAGGATGGCTTAGTTGGTGCAAAAATCCAGCTTTATACCTGTTAAACTCTGTTATTTTTAGCATTTTTCTTTAAGCTAACTAAAGAAATTCAAAGGCTGCTGACAGGATGCTAGAAATAAAGTCACTAAAGATACTTGTCTGTTATGTGTAAATCCAATGCTGGTTCATCCCTGCTGTCTTTTTTGTGCTGTTGAAATTTTTAAAAAGTCTGTGCTAGTGACTAATTGTTCAAACGCCATCTCAATTATTCAAATTTAGAATTTTTATTAGTCAAAGTAAAAAATGACAGTTTTTGTAGGACTGTTAAATTTAATTTTGATCTCGTGATGTGGAAAATAGACTATAAGTTTAAAAATGTCTCTTCTCCATTAACCCCAAGGCTTGTCATTTTGACCTCACAGTTGTAAATCTGTTGCTGAATAAATAATAGGATTTTTGTTTTCAAGTGGAAATTTCAGAAATTGAAAAAAAGCTAAAAAAAAGTTCAAGTTGTTTTTATATCATCAGCGTCAAATTCTTTTCTTGGCCAATTTACCGAGTATATATCCAGTGACAGTTATGCCTTATGTCATTTTTGTACTCTGTGGAACATGTGGCCATCATGTTTTGAGTACCTGCTGTGTAGCCTCCTGGCAGATTAATCTCTTTTGTCCCTTTTGTGTGTTCTTGTTTAACTACCATCTGCCTGCATCGTCAGTCCAGATGATATTTTGACGTATTTCCAAATATGCAACTGTTGTTTTCCTTAGCCAGTAAGAGTGGGGACCTGTCGTTTAGTAACTTGTTAATCAGTACTGCTACCTGATTTACACTGTAGATTGGTTGAATGCAGGCTGCAAAATTTAGTAGC